AGAAGGAGGCAAGCAAGGGAGGAATTGCTGATCCGCCGCTGCTGCTGCTGCTGCTGATGATGATGATCTTATCATCACCATGATGATGGTGACTGGGAGCATACTGCAAATCTTGCTCTTTGTCCCAACCGTGTCGTTTGTTTTCAATCTGATCCCGGCCGAAGCCAGGTGTCTCCCCTAAACCCTAAGCCCAAAACCCTAAACCCCCCCCCGGCCAGGTGTCTCTATCATGCTTTGCTTCACCTACCAGCTGACCGTCTTCTTACCGTGCTTGGCACTGAATGCCTACCGCCATGATCCCAGAGCTGGCGGGTGGAGGGACTTCCCTAAACCCTAATGTAGGGGCCTTAATAATTACCTATACTATTTTGGGGGGCACCTTATCCTAAGTATAGTATAACAGACCCCAAAACCCTATTCCAAGTATTAAGGCCCTTATGTTAATTACGTTATACCCTCAAGGGCGGTGACTCGTGAGCTCAGCAACAAGGCCCCAAGATACCCCCTGAGGTCCTCTGCTAGGGCAAGCCGACGCATCCCTTGAAGGGAAGTTCCCGATCCTAAAAAAGTATAGAAGCCTGAACCCTAAACCCCAACCCCTAAACCCTTAATGGAGACTATAGGTAGAACAATATGAGCACTACTACTCCTTAAGATTCCTGAATACGGGGCCCTTTGGCTTCACTCCCCTAAACCCTAAACCCTTTACCCTAAACCTTAAACTCGCCATCATTCTGCACTATCGCGCTTGTGTCAGACGGCCTCAACGTCTCAGGCGTCGGAAAATTAGGAGACCCGAATATACTGCCCTAAACAGTAGGATCCTTATGATAAGGACCCCAAAATAAGGCACCCCTTGTTTTCGGAAACTCCCACATACCCAAACCCTCCAGGTACCTACCATGTAGGGGCATTGAAATTATTAACTCCTTGACTCTGCGCGGCTCAAGCCGAAATCGAGACAAATCAGAGACGCAGTTTAATCAGCCGTTACATGACTTTCATGATTTGTTCAACGAAGTAAGCTACGAAAGCTGTGGCAGCCTGCCTTGACCGCTCTTCGGTTCCCGAATTAAGGTTTAGGGTTTTTTGGATGTGTTTGGGTTACCGAGGATGCGGGTCGCAGGGCTTTGGTTTCAATAGCGGCTGCTAAGGCTAAGGATTGTTGAGGAGTTCCATGGGCGGTTCATGGTTTAAGGCACATCCGTTACGGTCCAGATATCTCCGGTTTTCTGTGTTCAATCATGAGGGCCAGGTGTTCAATAGCAGCCATGCGGGCAATCCCAAGAAGCTCTATCCTTGTACATAGACCCAAATTGTCGATGTCGTACCTATACTTTGACTTTGTTTGGAAAACACAAGCCTTGCCCCGCCCCAAATCATGAGTCACTAATCGGGCCCGAATAATTAGAACAGGGTTTTGGGGTATACTATAGTAAAGTTATAATAAGGAACCCCCCCCCAAAATGGTGTAGGTAATTATCTACGCCCCTATAGTAGCGCTTTTGGGGGTCATCCTGCCGGCGCCATTGCGCACGGCGGCTTGGCCAGCTCCTCGGCGCCGGGAAGCAACGGCTTCGTGGCTAAACTCATGAAAAACGTCATAGTACGATTCTGAGGCCTTCAGATTCGACCATTCTAAAGCCTCATAGGTCTTCCGAAGCCCTTATAAAAACCGCAGAACACTCTTGCCAGCAGGAGCCATTATAAAGCCTAAGAATATGACTCTCTGATGAGCCCTTACAAAATCCTATAAAAATGCTATGAAAAGCTCTTGATGAGGTTCCTAAGCGCCCTGAGGAAATCCTCCCTCCGATCCAAGGAGCGAGAACGATGCCCTTCTCTGCGCCGGCTGGCGGACGCCGTGGCTTGGGAGGCCGACGAAACTCCAGTTTTTGTGTGTAGGGTTTAGCGCTTCAGGCTTCCTGGGATAGGGATGCTCGGGTTTAGGATGGCTTGGGGACTGGGGTTTTATTAGTTCGGTCCAACCACCCTCCATCCCCCCCAACTCTCACGCAGCAATCCTTTCTATTTGAGTTCAGGGTTTTTAGGGTTCATTGCGGCAGCTGAAGAAACGAAATGTGCGCTGCAGACTGCTGCAGCCCCTGCTCACAAAAAGGATTTGATTCAGGGATCCTAGAATAAGAGTTCTGCTGCTTCGGGTTTCTAGGCGTGCTTCAGAGTTATTCAGGGTTTCGCTGGAGGTTCTTCGAGGCTTTTCTATTTTTGGCCCTGCGGGCTTAGCATATAAAGTTTCTAGGATCAAAATGAATTTAGGGCTTTAGCGGACTGTAGCGCTTACCAGACGCCCCAAACCTTGCAAAATTCAGAGGGCCATCAAATTAAGTTTTGCGTCCACTGGTTCATTCTGATTCTCAGGCATTGGAGCTTGATACTACCATCCGACTTTCATGCTCAATCACATTGTGCTGATTCTTCGAACCTTCATATGCAAGAGGTCTATGTCCGGGTACCAATAGAGTCTACACGTTTGTGTAAACTTGAAGTGTTTGTTTTGGTTGGCACTTAGACGTAGACCCTTTTGGGAAGCATTGAAGGCTCCCGGTTTGATCCCCGAGGCCCTGCTAGTCTTAGTCTTGGCGATATAGGAGTGGGAGCAATTGGTACGAGTGTCCCCTTACAGCTTCTGCATGATTCCACAGAATTGCATGTGCGTATATGTGTTTTTCTATATATATATATATATAGATACAGAAGCAATTTTTATCTATTTAATCTATCATAAGTGTGTGTATATACATGTATGTGTATGTATTATGGCGTGTGTGTACACATTTATGTAAATGCCGCAATGTATATGTGTGCGTATAAATGTTTGTAATCGCACTGATCCGATCGCCAAGGGTTGCAGCCTTGTGGTTATAGCGTTTACGTGTGGGAAAGTGTTATACTGCTACTCAGGTTGAGAACAGTTTTTAGAGGACGCCCAGTTGAGGTCCCTTGCCCTTTCTGTTGGAACCGACCCCTCGTGCAGGGTGGTAGATTGCCCATGCTGTAAAGGGGTTTGAGGTTTGTGGGATTATACAGTCTAGGATTTCAAAGTGTTCGGCCTGCTTGGGCTGTTTGGGGTTGAGGATGCTGGCCTATGTGCAAAGCGAGGAACCGCAAGCCTATGCCCAAATCGTTGCCCAAATCTCTCCGGCCCACTGGTTCCAACCCTATCCAGGATTGGTGTTCAGTTGTCGTTCGTTGCTACTTGTAGTTCGACTAAACTCCGCTGAATGGCCAGGAAACGGCTGCGAAGTTGTCTTAGTGATTTCTACACGAAATTTCCACACACAGGAACATTCGCTTCCCCGGTGCAGTTCAAGGACCGCAGGGGCAGAGATGTCGGGTTCAGAGATTTGGTGCCCCTGTAAAGTCGACGCTCCAGTAAGCCCATCAAACTCTAAACCTTCAGAATAGTCGACGCCGATAGCGAACATCATATGGGTTTGTGCGCTTTGTTGCTGGTGATCAAGGTTGAGTGTGCCTGTTTCAGTCTGAGGGTTAACAAGCACCGAACACCCGGCGATGCATCAAGTCACTGTCCACACTCATAATTGTCATAACTTGTTCCGATGTTGGGCTACTTTGCTTATTTCAATGCTTTGGGGTACAGGTTTAGTAGTTCGGGTTGGGGGCCTGGGCCGACGAGCCTTTGGCTGGCGACTGTGCTGCCTAGTCTTTGAGGGGCGTTTGTGTATCTATTTCCCCTTTTGGGGGGTGGCTCACGTAGGAGGCCTTAACCCGAAGCCCAAAACTCAGAACCCTCAGCCCCGCGAGCTCGACTGGGGTCAGGCTCTGGCCAACTTCCTCGAGGAGTACATGAAGCCGCCTCTCGACAGACAAGCAGACTGCGGGTCGAGGCCTCATATGCCCCAGAAGCCCACTTACCAGAATGGTGGGTTGGGTTACTGGGTTGGGATCCGTCAGAAGGCATAGTATATAACGAGCTAATCAGGCCCCGAGTTCTACAGGATCAGCTTCACCGCTTGGCGCTCCTTCGGGGGGCCGGTGTCTTGCTGAGTCTAAGCTGAGAGCCTTCTCGAAATTGTA